AGGGACCGCAGTCCACAACTCCGGGCTGTCGACATGCCTGCTGCGCACTCCCCGGGGTCCTTTGGGTTCCGAAACCGGACGAGGACGAGGTTGAGGATGAGGACGAGGAATCCATCGCAGGACAGCTCCATCACATCCAGAGCATCGCACAATGGGGGCGAATTGATAAAGTTGACCGCAAATTCTTTGTACATTACTTTCCCTTCATGGTCGAATCAATCATAATCAAGGCGAAGGGCCACTCGATAAATTGATATGGTGAAGTTTATGGCATTGTCTGCGAAAGTTATTACCCATAACACAAGTTCTCTTATGCCAGATGCACGAAATCTCCAAAACATATTAACATGGCAGAAACAAGAAAGTGAAATAACCATTTGTGTTGCTCCGTAAATTAATAAACTCAATTACAAGGTTACAATAAATAATAAAAGCGTTTCTGCAATATAAAATATAAGTTATAAGTTAGACCCAAACTATATAATAAATATCCCTTCTTAAGTATTCTATTCTATATAACATTTAAGCAAATGATTACATCTTTAATTTATTTTTCAACGTTTAAGAAAATATCAGTAAAGTCATGTAAATCCGATTATAATTCAAAGGACCTTTACAGTAGCAAACTAGTCGTGGGTAAGAGATTAAGCGATACTCCCAATTTACCTCGTGCTTTTTGGGTTCCAGGAACATGTGAGAATATTTTGGCACTCGCACCTAGTACAAATCTACATCTCCCCATGGAACCACTGGGGGATTATTTATGGAATGGATTTGCTTTGTTTCCCCCCGAGTGCCGCGTATAACATGATATATGCTCCGCACATGGCGGGGATGAGATATAGCATGACAAATACTTTTCAGCATACAGCAAAGAGCGTTTCCTGTCCACCGCCCATTGTAAAGCCCCTTTGGCTGTTGCACATGCGGCACAGATTTTAGTTGTTTTTAGTCTCGGACTAAATTCTCATAGCCAGGGTGTTGCTACAAAAAAAAATAGAAGAAAAAAAAGTGGGTATAGTATAGTAGAGGTTCTACTAAAAACTGCAGCTGCAAAAGGGAAAATAATGGCGGAAACTATAAAGCATTCCGTAACAGTTTTTTCTGCTCCCGTTTCTATTTTTTGCCGTTGCCGTTTTCATTGTTATTGTCCTTGTTGACGTTGGTCCTGTTGCCGCCTCCTTTCGCCTTTTGTGCGAGCTGAATGCCTCAGATGTTGCTGCTGTTGCTGCTGATGTTGCTGCTGCTGCTGCTGCAACTGACATGCTGCAGGTTGCTGGGTGAAAATGGAGTAGCAGCTGCCATTGTTGTTGCCGCATCGTCTGCTCATTTTTATTTAAAACTCAATTGGACGAATTTCTGCCCCGGGTCGGGGATCAGGCAACAGGCAACAACAATGGAGCCAATTTGTACAAAGTCCGCCAGACGCACAAAACACCATCATCATCCGTTCCTATCGCACTCACTTTAAGGGCGGAACCCATCCTAACGTGGGTGGAAACAAAGTGCTAAGTGAGCTTTATTAGATATCTTTAAAAATGGATGATAGCTGGGCGTTGTGTGCCAAAAACATGCAAATTTTATAATAATTCAGCTTAGAAGGTAGGGATTTTTGCACTACTTATACAATGATATAGAAATGAAATAGTAAATATAAATATGTAAAGTAGAAGTTGTGAATATTTAATTTCAAATTCTAGTTTAATAATTATTACTTATTTATAATGATTATCATATTTTAATTAATATTATTTATTTATAATTTTTATTATTACTTAACAATTATTAATTATTTGCAGTTATTATTATTATTTAGTAATTGTTATTTATTAACCTGAAGAAATTTTTGGTTAAATGAGAAGTAGTTTAGATTAAAATGGAAGTTCTACATTTAAAATGAACAAACAACGAAAACATTCCAATTCCATATGAAAGTTTATGATTTTCTATCGATTTTTTGTCAGAATAGGGTTCTTTATCCACAGACATTTTCAAGGCTGCTCTTTAAGAGTTATATTTATTAATATAATTAATTCTATAATTATAATTTAATTATTTAATGCTATGCTTATTTAAAGTTAAAGATTTCCAAACGCTAAAATTACTGAGTGCACTTTCATTCCTTTGATTTTTTTGCTTACAGTTCATTGAAAAGCATTTAACATTTAACAATACATGAAAAAATCGTCACTCTTATTTTTCACAATCAAGTTTATTACCAAAAAAAACATAAGAAGCCCCATAAAATATTGTGACAAGCAGTCACTTGTTTACTTCACTTCACTTGACTTATTTCTCAGGAATTATGAAGCTCGTAAAATTTAAGCCAAAGTGTGGGGTGGCAATTAGTAGCCCCAACAAACTCTACCCCCCCATAAATGCAATTGTTTTTGCTCTCGGTGGCATGTCAATGCAGGGCATGACCCGGGCTAAACTAATTATAAACTTGGCGGAACTAAGGCAAACCTGTGGGACAGATCCTGTGGCTGCGGGCCCTCATGGTCATGCATTTTTCGGGCGGCCCTGTCGCCTGCCAAAATGCGAACAAAGTCGGTGGAAAATGTGGCCAAATCTGGTGCCCGGATTACAGCTTTAGCTCCCGCAATGCCGCCAACGAGATGACGATGATGCGACCTCCGTTGGCAAACAAACTTTCCCGCGTCACACCAAGCTGTCCCGGAAAAACCCCGCCCATCGTCGCCCCTTTCGGAAAAGCGGAAAAGTGCACAGTGTACAATGAAGCGCCTTTTAAGCAGCCAACGGTGGCTCCCGAAAAAACTTTTTGCCTGATTTTTTTTTTAAACACAGAAAATCTAGGGGAAAAAATTATGCAACTATGTTGAGAATGCAAGTGAGAGGGTGCCAGTGCTATGGCGGAAGCACGTAAAATATTTGCATTTTTATTAAAAATTGAATAAATTGAGATGAATATTTCTTTCGCTGCCAAAAAGAAAATAATTCTCCCCTCCGTCATCTTGTTATCGTTTTATTACTTTCGCGAAGCCACGCAAAAGTTTTTCTGCTTTTTTATGAAAGTTAATTTCACTGTTGCCTGCTTTATGATGTTTGAAATTCATAATTAAAAAATAGTTGAAAATGTAGCAAGTGGTCAAAGCCAACATCGTCCCTTTGTGGCCGCGTTATATTTCATTTAATTTATTTTATTATTTTTCGTGCATTAAAACCTGGCAAAAACAGCGCTGTGCTTTCCATCACGCTCGTTGCTCATACGCCGTGTGGTGCCGATTTTCCAGCTAATTAGCCGCAGTCCGGGAAAAACCTAGGGAAAACTCTGTGCAGCACTGTCTTTCACAAAAATGCACAACTGGACAGCTTTGTCCGCCCAAAAATATGGAATTTCATTAGGGAAAGAGGAAAAAGTATTAAAAAGCTTTCAAGCTGAAATAGAAACTCCTCATTAAAATTTAGCTTATATTTATATATTGAAGAATTGCTGAAAAGAAATGAGCAAAATGTATTAATAACTAAAATAAACAGCAAATGAAGTGCCTTTTAAACGAAATAGTTTGGTGTTAAATTATGAATTATTTATTCATATGAAAATATGTGAAAATACTTTATTGAACTGCTGGGGGTCATAAATATTTAATAAGCCTTACAACTCAATTTGAAATGCATTAAAAAAGGTTTTTAAATGTAAACGAATGAACAAGACGAAGACTAAAAATAGGAAATAAATATTTTAGTACCTAATTTTAATTAATATAGAGAAACATAAGACAGAAACATTCTCTAATGCACAACGTGTGCTCAATTTATTTAATAAATTATCCACAAATTAGTTGGCTTCATCTGAGGACAATGTTTCGAGTTTATTCCCAATCTCATTCTAAGCAATGTCTTCATCTCGGAATTCCCTGGCTTGTGCTGAACAATGTGCGCATTTAGATTTGATTTGTACTTTGCACAGTTTTGGCATAATTCCTCAGGCAGTCGCAATATAAACAAATCATTGCCTGCCCCTGACAAACTTTATGTCACAACTTTCACACGACAAAGTTTTCCGTTTTGTCCCCTTTGTATACCCTGTAGGGTGGGCGTATGTGGGTATACCACCCCCTCTCCTTTGGGATAGAGGTGGGTCGCAGAAGTTACATTGGTTTTTTGGACCTGGGGACACATGTGGCCCAAGTCCATGAATTATGACTGAGGCTTAATTATGTCGAGCCCAGATTAGCCCGGCAGCCATGATTCCGTCACTCGAAATGCCAAAAGGTTTGGTAAATTTTGGGTAGACGGGTGGATGGGTTTGATGGGGTAGATGGAACGTGGCTGGGCCATTATATTGATTTTGATATGGTTATTCGGTTCATTAAAAAGTTTCCCTGCGCATCGTGTTGATGTTTCATGCAAGTTATGAATATAGCAGAGCGCTCCAAGTTTCCTTCTTCTGCTGCAGTTTTAATTAGGGCACAAAATCAACGAAGAAACTTTGACGCACTTTTAATGAAGCAACTTTTCGACGAACGGTTGTATCATCAGCAGTCAACGCCTCACCACCCCTTCAGCCCCACCGAAGTTTATTGTATTGTATTCTTTAGATATGGGACCTGGCTGCAAAGAAACCTGAACCGCTAAACGAGCCGCGAACTAAACCTATTCATTATTTTCTGTTAAAATAAAAAACTCATATCAGAGTTATTTTAAAGCAAGCTTAAGTAATTTTTTTAAACGCAGAGTCATTAAAATATTTTTAAATATTTTTGATCCTCGACACCCTTATACGTATAAACTACTTATATATCATGAAGAGGAAAGAATATAATATATTATTTTTCGGATGGAACGAGAATACATTTTCCAGAAGTATTCCAGAAATACATTTTCCAAGACATAGGGCTTATAAAATATTTTAATGTTTTCAAATCCTTTATAGGTTACTTACATTATAGTAAACATACTAGGATAATAATACAAAAACAATTGAAATTCAAATACAATTTTTTAACAATTATTATTTGTAATCTTCCCCTTTCCAGACGACTGGTTTCGGTGGACTGCCCGACGTCACCGAGCACTCGAACATCCGCCGCACACTGTCCCGCCAGAACTCGATCTCGAACAGCGATTCCGGCGGCGAGATAGCCAGCATCCAGAAGTCCAAGGTGAACTTTGGCAATCCTCTGGCCGGGGGCGTGGTCGTGGGCGGGGACATAGTGGGTCTGGACGCCAAATCGCCCACATCCCTCAATTCGGCGACGGGAGCCGGTGCCTCTGGAAAGGCGAAGGGAAAAGCGTCGAGGAAGGCGAACGCTGGCGCAGATGGGGGACAGAAGGGCAGAAGGGGCTCCTGGCTGGTGGCCCTCACCCTGGTCAGCGCCATCTGTCTGCTGGCCATCGCCGCCACCCTGGCCTACCAGCACTTCCTCATGGCGCCCAGCCGCAACTCGCACGCCCAAAGACTGAGAATCGTCCGCCGAATCCTGCGCGAGGTGCCGCTGGTCGACGGGCACAACAATTACGCCTGGAACGTTCGCAAGTACGCCCACAGCAGCCTGGAGCTCCATCTCAGCCACGACGTGGATCACAAGTCACTGTGGGCGCGGCCGGCGTGGGCGCAAACGGACATGGAGCGACTCAAGCAGGGATTGGTCAGCGTCCAAGTGTGGTGAGTACTGAAAAGACTTTAAATTGAAATCCATAATCCAGAAATAATGAGATAATAACAAAGAATAGATCATATTTTCACATTTGAAAAAAAGCTCTTTTCACTAATTCGAGAAAATACGTTCTTGAAATCAAGACGAAAGTGCTGTTTTGTTTATTATAAGATGAAGTCATTCATTAGATGAAAGTAGTCTTGATTTTTTTTCGAGCAGAATGTAGTCTTAAAATCCGAATATATTTAATCAATTTAGAGTAAAGTAGTCTAGATTTTGTTTTTCGAGAAGAATGTATTCTTAAAAGCCAAATAATTTTCATCTCGATTTTGGCAGACTTTGCAGATCTTGGAAACGATATTGGGAACTTTATTTTCTGCACGTTTTTAGCCAATATAAATTTTAAAAAAAATTTTTTACGTTACACTATGTTGTACATTTTTGTAATGATGTAAAACCAATTGAGCCTATATTGATACTTAACTGAAATTACAACGTTCAATGGGGCGTATACGCAATGAAAATTCGCCCACCAGCGGCCAAGTCATGAAAATTGAAAAGTCACATACAACTGCAATCAGGCCGAGGCGACATCTACCCGGGTCAGAGATTTGACCCCTCCACCATCATGCATTCGAGAGCTGGCCAAAACATGGCAACATACAGCCATAGGGCCACGCCCACCCAGAGGCATCCAAACAGCCGCCCACTCCTGACCTCCGACGGTTTCCCCCGCGCGGCAATAAAAAGCTGCCAACAATTTGACTGCAAAATAAAATTTGGCAACCGGCTGAATGCCCCAGGGCAAGCAGCCAACCTGTCTGCTGTAGGTCCTCCTCCTCAGCCTAACCCTACACAAAACTCACATTGAAAGAAAAGCCTACCGAAATTGGTCCTCCAGGATTTGTTTTTAGGAATTCTAGGTATACTAAAAACAACTACTTTTAGTAAGTTTAAATTTAAAACCATTCGACGTTTTTCCTAACAAGATTTATAAATATACCAATATAAAACATATATTTTGAGGAATTTGGAGAAGGACTGGGGAATAGGTTTAGGGAAACTATTAAATGGCATTTGATCATACATTTTGGAAAATTAAACTTTGATATATATAGTTATACCCGTTACTCGTAGAGTAAAAGGGTATACTAGATTCGTCGGAAAGTATGTAACAGGCAGAAGGAAGCGTTTCCGACCCCATAAAGTATATATATTCTTGATCAGGATCACTAGCCGAGTCGATCTAGCCATGTCCGTCTGTCCGTCTGTCCGTCTGTCCGGATGAACGCTAAGATCTCGGAAACTATGGGAGCTAGGCTATTGAGATTTAGCGTGCAGATTCCTGAGCTTCCTACGCAGCGCAAGTTTGTTTCAGTAGACTGCCACGCCCACTCTAACGCCCACAAACCGCCCAAAACTGTGGCTCCTACAGTTTTGATGCTAGATAGAAAATTTTAACTGAAATGTAATGTTCTCATCAATACCTATCGATTGACCCAAAAAAAAGTTTGCCACGCCCACTCTAACGCCCATAACGCATAAATCTGTATACCGCCGGTAGGTGGCGCATTTTAATCTCGCTTTGCTGCTTGCATATATCCATTTAGCTGAGTAACGGGTATCTGATAGTCGAGGTACTCGACTATAGCGTTCTCCCTTGTTTTCATATGGATTGATTTACACTGTAAGTATATAAAAAAAATATGTGAATTTTCTTCTAACTCTTAACATGTTTAGGATATATTATATATTTATTATTACCTTAAGCGAAGTATTTTGAATTTTACAGAAGGACAATAAATATTTAGTTTTTTTTTTCTGTGTAGGCCACAACACCCACTTCCAATTTTCGAATTTGGTTAGGGAAATAGGGGAGGAGAACAATCTGACAGGCGGCAGACAGCTGCAGTTTGCGAAAATCGCTGATGGGCAATCGACTTGACTTCATTTGGGTAGGAGACTACTCCACCCCCAAAAGAAACACCCTCTACCCACTGCTGTGACCGCCAGATGGCGCAAGCGTAACTTTTCGCCAATTTCGCATTTCAATTCGCCGGACGGCCTTGCTGAACTTCGTTTGGAGTTTTGGACCAAAACAGCAGGGCTTCTGGTTTCTGACGCTCTCTGCCAAGTTTTGGATGCCCCCTGGCTCGCCTATTGCCATATCAAATGGCAACTAAAATGCAAAGTTCAACCAACCACTTTGGCACTTTCAATTTGCATTTTCCAATTAAACGGCAATCATGGTTCGTTAGGAGTTTTGGCTGCTGATTAAAGGTTTAAAATTCATGTTAAAATATGAATTCGCGAATTCTTCAGAGCTAGAAAAACATCTTCTGACCATGGTAACACATTAGTTAGTTCTTAAAACCATCCAGGAATTCCTAAAAATATGATACCGCAAACTCTTTAGAACAAGAGGAATTAACCGAGTTCCAACACACGGGCTTTGTGTGACTCGTTGGCAACAGATACTTATAAACTGGCAATTTTAATTATTGTGGTTATTATTGGTAGGGGTTGAGATAGAGAATTAGAAGGAGCTTGGATTTATTTTGAAACGGTTTCAGGTTGGGTTCACATATTTCCTGAAAATGATTAATGTAAAGAGAATAAGAGGTAAAAGTAAAAAGGTTAAACAAAACTTACAAATCAAAAATTTATTTTTATAGCTCTATATATATTTCCTTTTTTTGGCACCGTAACGCCTGGCATAAGTCCGCTAAACTCCACACTTTCTTCGACCTTTTGCAGGTCAGCATATGTGCCGTGCGAGGCGCAGGGCTTGGACGCCGTCCAGTTGGCTCTGGAGCAGATCGACATTGTGCGGCGCCTGTCGGACATGTACGCCCGGGAAACGGTGCTGGCCACATCCTCGCAGGACATCGTGGAGGCCCATCGCCGGGGACTTCTCGCCTCGCTGATTGGCGTCGAGGGGGGTCACACAATAGGCTCCTCGTTGGGGGTGCTGCGATCCTTCTACTCCCTGGGAGCTCGATATCTCAGCCTGACCCATCGCTGCGACGTATCGTGGGCAGGATCGAGTGCCTCGCCGGCTGAGCAGGGACTGACGCCCTTTGGCAAGGCCATTGTCCGTGAGATGAACCGGCTGGGCATGATGATCGACCTGTCACACAGCTCGGATGCCACCGCCCGGGATGTCCTGCAGGTTACACGGGCTCCGGTCATCTTCTCCCACTCCGCCGCCCGCCAGCTATGCAATTCGACGCGAAATGTTCCGGATGATATCCTGCGGCTGGTGGCCGAGAACGGAGGTCTGATCATGCTGAGCTTCGACTCCGAGGATGTGGCATGTGGACGTCAGGCACGCCTCCAGGATGTCATCGAGCACATCAAGTATGTGCGGGCCATTGCCGGCATCCAGCATATTGGCTTGGGAGCCGGTTACGACGGCATCGAGTTGCCGCCCCTGGGACTTGAGGATGTGTCCAAGTACCCGGAACTGCTGGCCGCTCTCCTGGAGGATCACAACTGGAGCGAGGAGGATGTGGCCATGCTGGCGGGCAGGAACTTCCTACGCATCATGGAGACGGTGGAAACGGTGCGGGACTACTGGAAGCGGGCGGCCATCCAGCCCATTGAGCAGACGGAGCCTCAACCCAAGACGCAGTGCACCTACATGTCCTCGTGACCGCAGGCGCAGGCGGTTAGGCAGCGGCGAGATGAGCCGCCCATGGAGCGGGCCAATCGCACCACCGCCACTTTGGCGGGGGAGCACTTCTGGAATCGCGGCCCTGAGTCCAAGGACTCCGCCTCCAATCACTCCAATCCTGCAGTCATCGCAGCCACGGCAACGAGTTTTACGGTCAGCGAACTGCTCCAGTAAAAAGGTTTGGATGGCAAGTCAAGGCAGGGGACTTTGGTTGGCGGTTCGGTTGGCTGGGTCTTCGGTTAAAAGAGCGAGTAATTGGGAACGATCCCTTGAAACCATTATAAATTTAAATTTAAACCTAAACTTAGGAGTTTCCCAATTTTATTTTAATTAGAAAAAATGAGAAGGTTGGAAAAATGTCAAGTATACTCCTATTTTTAAAGCTACCTATTCTAAACAAATTCCTTTTAAATAACAGTATCCTTCTTAACTACTGTTGATAAAAAGATGTATATTAGGTGCGAAATATATGATTTCAATCAATAATCGAGTTTCCAAAAATACTGCTCTAAAGATAAAAGGGTATTTTAATATTTACTAAATATTTAAACATGTAAATATATTTATTTCCCATTTCTCCGGCAACTATAGAGCTCGATGGTTCCCTGCCATTACTCGCCCTTCACACCAAAATTGAATATACTCTCGTGGCAACCCTCGTGAATAATTAGTGTGTACTCGTAATTTACTTCCATAGGATGCATTGATAGGCGTATGAATAAATAATAATAATAAATGTACTAGTATTTAGCCCATAATTGTTTGCAGCTATACTTATTGGTGTTGTGGCACTGCATAATTTATGCACAGTGCGGATACTTATCGATGTTGCTGTACCACGGGGCGTATGCGCTACGCGACGTAACGAACCGAACCGCAAACCGAAATCTTTCTTGGCTTGTCTGCGACTGTATTATACATATATATATGTAGGGCACACATCAATGATTCACGCTAATTATCGCAATTAAGCGCAATATATTTAATCACGAACATCACACAGACACCCGAATATAAATCATCAAAACGTATTAATTGCAGCAGACTTCCCGCAGTTGGTTGGCATTAATGCCAGGATCAAAAGTCAAAAACAACAGGCGAACGCAATTAAAAAGTGATTTTTCACCCTGGCTGCAGTGAATCCATCTTAATTTCTGCACTAGGTTAGTTAAAAACAAAAAATCCAAATCAAAAACAAACGAAATGTTGTTCGTGTATGCATAGCTACATATATACCACACACACCAAAACTGACATAAAAGTAAACTTCAGCAGAAGCAATGCGTATAATCGAATAGAGGCACGCATTTCCATAAAAATAAATCGGAAATAAAAAAATATATGCCTGCAGTCTGTTTTTCATTTGTATTCTGGGTGGTTTTTCTTTAATCTGGGAGCGGAATAAATTAAAAGTGTTTATTAAAGTTTGTATGATAGAACAATTTTACATTCGGAGAAGACTTGAACTTTCCCAAACAATTTAAAACGTTGTATTTGCTAAAATATCAGGTTAGTTGTGATTCTAGAACTATTCAATAAATAACTGCTGACTAAATAACTTTCTTTTATGCCTGATCAATCAAGGCATAGAACACTTTACTATTTTTATGTATACTACATTTCCAGAATGGTAAGTGAGTGCCGGAGTGTCGACCCTAGCTTAGTTATAGAGAAATCCGCCATACACACGCGAATTCTTATACAATCGCCGAGTCTGGGAACATAAAAAACGTTAAGTGGTCGTAAATCAAAATTGTGCAAGAATGGGAAAGTTCGCAAAGTTCTTCCTTTACTACTTTGCGACGACACGGAGTCCTTTCGCCCATTCGGTCTTATTGTCCTCTCTCCGGTATTTATATCCAGATACTCTTAGGCCAGCAGAAAGGAACTCCCAGCAGATCCGGAAATTGGCGGCGGGAGCATTTCGAGCGGAGCTTCCTCGCTGTGGGCCAATGCGAATCCAATTTCGTGCATTTGCAGTCCATTGAGTTTTGCTTAAATTTTAATGAAACTAAGCGGTCCTCCCATCCGAAAACATATCCCAACGACTTTTCGGGGGCCAGACATCGGCACCCCCGACTTTATTTGTCGGCTAGCGACGCCATCCAGTTGTAATATCAGCATTTTTTCTCTTAATTTTTTTTTGTTTACAAGTCTCTGTTTTGATTGCTTTTGCTCGGCTGGGGACCCACGAGGGAGGCTTTTGTTCAATTTTGTTGATTTTGCGATGACTTAATAGAGTCACTAATTGTTGAGTTCTGGGCAGGGACTGGTGGACAAAGCCTTGCTGTCTCAGCAAATCAGCGAATATGGTTTCGAAATAAGTTTTACAAAAGCTAAACGGTAAGGCTGGATATGCATATCTTAGTTCTCGGCTTACTCTTATTATGGATAAGATAAGCTAAGGTTGTATTGTTATACGGGATTGGAAAATGTAGATGTTAATGGTTGTTATTATTATATGATAAATATCTTTATGATATCTGTCTATATTACTGGTCAAACATAAATATAAAAAATATATAAAAAATTATATAAAAAATAAAAAAAATATATACATTAAAGATGAGATTATTTAAAAATTGCTAGGCATACTTGAACAATCTTAACTCTAAAGTGGTGATGACTTAACTTAGCGCAATGTTAAGGATTCGGAACTTGCGAACATCATCATAACTTCGTTTACGGTTACATTGGCCGTTAAAAGTAATTACCCAATTTCACGGACACCTCAACGTAAACAGCCAGGACAATCCAGTGAAAGTTGAGAGGTTGTAAAGGGACATTGAGGGTCCCGAGGCGAAAATTAAGAACTGACCGTTAACGAGACGAGTGGCATGGCATCGCGTTCTCATTAACACGCCAGTCCGGTTTCAATTTCCCGTTTAATTTTTCTTTTCATTATAAATGGCCCTCTGCATGGCCGGTAAGGCCAGTGCCAGAAGATTCTGCTACCAACTCCGGACCCACAAGGCAGAAAGCCATAAACAATGCGCTCCGACAACTGCGACGAGTTGATGGACAAAATAATGCCTGATGACATTTATAATGAGCAAAATGTTGTTGCTGTTCGCCCTTGTTGTTGCTGTGGAGCTGCTGATAAGTGGAAATTCGCTTCATGTGGTCGAAATTTGCGCTTCATAGCATAATAAATCTCAGCACTCCACTACTCCACCACCATTTAGCAGCCAAAAAGCTTTATTATTATTTAAAGGCATTATTTCTGACGCTTGGATGGCAGATTAAATATCTGACAGACTGTCGCGGACCGAAGATATAGTGGAAATAAACGGAAATCAAAACCATAATGTTCTGCTTGAATACTTTCTAAGTGTTTTAAAATACTTTTGTTTTGTCGAATATTCAAGTTGTAATGACTGCCATAAGGGTTTAGCTTTATTTAAAGAAAAGGTTCAACATAGGAAACAAAATAGTAAATTCTTATTAGCATCTTAATTTTAGATTAATGTTTCTGATTCTGGAAAATATGTATTAAATATTCTTACATTCATTTTTTAGTACGGTCCAGTTTAAGTACATGAAATAAGCCAATATATGGTTTAGTAAGTAGTTAGGTATAGGGCATCGAATTTTTCTTTGAAGTTCAACAAATTGGACTTGCCAATTACGTTGTAAACATCATTTTTAGTCATATTATTGAATTTGATGTAGCCCAGAAGTGTTTTTATGTATTTAAGGTGTATGAGTTTTATCTTGCTATCCTTGGCCTCATCCAGGAGATCACTATCTTTATGCACTTCTGTTTTCTGCACGTTGCTATCGCAAATCGCCTTTGAAGTTCCGGGCTCGCCCTCAGTTTGTGGATCTTCGCCCTCGCTGTCTTCAGAATTGGATTTTGGTATTGCCACGTCACCAACACCACTGTCATTTTCATTATTCTTGTCGTCGACGACATCCAGTGAAGGCTCGGCTGTCTCATGGTGGATCAATCCACTAACGGTTATGTAAGACTGGATCATCTTGAACCGCTCGATCTCGGGCAATAAGCCCTCGGCCAGAATGACATACTGCTCAAAGACATCCGAAGTCAGAAGCAGTGCATCGTAGCAATTCATGGTGGTGTTAAAACGGCTCAAGTTCTTGGAAAATAAAAAGGGAGTTAATAGTCTATCGGCACTCAAAAGTATCAAGGTTCTGTTACTTTTGATCAAAGTAAAATTAGATTCTGAAAGACTTACTAGCCGCTAAAAACTCACATTTTTAGAAATGTCGATAAGCTTCTTGTTGTTTACGTTGTGGGCGCACTGGAAAAGCTCGACAAGCTCGCTGATCACCATACTTGGAGCCTTGGCCTTGAGGATATCCATACAATCGGAGACTATAGAAGGCACAAGCCATGTGGATCCACAGATAAGTAGCTCCATTATCATCAAGCTGGGTTTCTCCCCCAGATCCTTCTTGTTGTAAGTATACACATATGTATGCAAGGAACTCTGCGAACGTTTCCGGTTTCACCTCGCTCAGGCGGAATTTGCCCGACTGGGATTCTTGGAAATCACTCAGAAACATGCGCTCAAAAAACTCCGATGCACTGGACAAAATCACCTTGTGGCAATCGAAAGATTCTTTTCCCACTAATATTTGGCAGTCGCAAAATTTCTTGTTCTCCAAGAGGTTTGAATACACCGGTTGTAGCCTAGAAAATGAGATTGATTTGGAAAAAATCTTAGCTTAGTATTATATACTCACCACTTATCCATTTTAGTTTTTTGCGTGTTGTAAAAGAACTGCTGAAAAAAGTATATATGAAACAAAAACATAAAGCTTTTAATGCCGTTTTGTAGATATGTATGTTAATATGTATGCTTCTTTTCTGAGAATGATAAACTTGGATAAGCATTTTTTTGAGGCGGCTTTGTGTATGTATGTATGTACATACATATCCTCTTCACTTTCGGCCTATGTTACAATCGGCTCCAAGACTTACATATTTCTGGGAACTCCCTTTTTTGTATGATCAAACTCACTTTGTGTGCAGACGAAGTCAACCGTTCGATTCACTGGAATATTCCAAAGTGAAGAAGTGTTGGGGCTTTCAACTTTCAAGCTAGAGATGGAACTAAAATATATTCTGCAATCGATATTTAGTTCTAGGCCATCGATGATCTTACGACCAGCGCGCCCAATTTGATCGAAAATATTTCTTATCGGCGCAACATAAATCGGTAAGCGCTTATTCAGCGTAAATTTTTTATGTGCAACAATAATTTACACGACTTAGCGCTGAAGTGATTTCTGCGGCACCCCTGTATATTTTATTTGTTATACGATCAATGTTAGTATACATATTAATACACTTGTATTTAAAGAAAAAAAATGGATGGAGAAATTAGTTTTGTTTTGACTAAAATGAATAATAGCGAAAATTATATTCTTAATACTCTTTAATCTACCCTGCAGTTACACAATTCAGCACTGGCACAAAATCATCACGCAGTGATCACAGATGAATGTGATTGTGATGAATGATTGCGCCAGTATAGTGATGAATCGTAGGACATGTGTGTGTTAAAATCATCACCACTTTTCATACAAAATCACCAGTGATTTAGCGCTCGGTGGTGATTATTTAGCAGCCAAAAAAGTGATGAATGGTAGTGCAGGTCTAGTTGATTGAATTGCAACGAAACATGTGTCAAGAAAATGTAGAAAAAATTGAGCAAAAAGTAAGTTAGTTTAGCTTTTTAAAGATTCAATCATGAATCGTTGTGTTTGTACTTACGACTCAATTATTTCGGGCGTTGGAACAGAATTATTTAAAAACAGTGGTGAATGAACATATATTATTTATTAATTGTTGATGGAGTTCTTAATAGAAATAAACAAAAAGCATTTGCTTCTTCCTATCATTTGCACTACATTGTTTTAGCGACAATAAAAAGATCCATATAAACCAGGACTTTGTTCATTATCCAAAATAAATGTAAGATAAAATGCGACTACTAGTACAACTGGGAAATGCTTAACAAGTGGTGACTGTTTGGTCAGCACAAATATAAATTATCAGAAAATCTGTTTGCTTTAATGGATCGCTCGGTGGTCAGTACTGCATGGTCCACACTCCACACTCCACACTCCACACTCCATGGTGTGTCAAAGACATCAATTCGTAGTGTGTCCGGGCAAATCCGATGGTAAATTTTGTGGTTCCGCCCCGGACGAGAGTCCTGAACAATTGACATTGACCGACTCCATTGATGGGCGGTCACCGCCCACCCAGCCGTAAGTAATTAGGAAATTTGCAAAATTTTCCATTTGCCGGACATGAATCTGCAAATCTGGCGCTGTCCTTGCTGCCAGTCCTCGTTGGAAACCGCATTATGCACACAAACGAATCTCATTTTGCAACGAACACTTGGCCAGAGACTGTGTTTGCCAGACAAATATCAGTTAATTATTACACATCCACATCTCGTCCTTAATCCATTTATAATAATTCATCTTGGTCAGCCATTGCACACTTGGTATTCGGTATTGATATTTGCCCATAGACTCCGATATTTACCCAAAGCATTTTGGGTGTAGGATTACAAATGATATACGTTTGTGTAATTGGCAGCTAAGTAACTATATTGCATATATGAAGATTGCATATATTTGGGATTTTCCGAGAATATAGATTTGTATGTATAGACAATTGTAAAAACGTTGCAAATCAGAATTTTTTTAAAAAAATAAGTTACGTTTTAAAAGCTTCCGTTTTTTGATCATATAGAAAAACATATACTCGTAAGTATGTTGTTAAATAATAAACGAACTATGTATAGTAGTCTTATGAACATTTGTAAATAATTTTAACGTTATTTTTCAGTTATAAAATATTCAAATTAGGAGTTCCTTAAATTTCGTAAAGGTTATTTCTGAAGGTATAGTAGGCAACCCACAATACTATCAATATGTATTCAGGACTCCAGTGCCCCAATGTTTAAGGCCGTGCGTGTGCGTACAACTTGAAATTGATTTACTTTTGCTGCAGGCCAATTTGGCACGCTCATTTGGCCAGCTCATGACTTTGGCTTGTAAGAGTTGGCCAGCACAACCCAACGAAATACGCTCGTAATTAAGCGCTGCCGTGTCCCCGGAGTGTAGTTAATGTTGTGGTGCCATAAATTTGACTTTTGCCCGTGTTCCGATGTCTGTAAGCCCGGGTATTTACGGCCGGAAGCTGCATTTGTCAGGTGAAAGGGAGTTCCGTGGGCTGAGAGCAGCTAGCCCGAGGCGTTTTCATATTCAATTTGGCAAACACTTGGCAGCTTTTGGCCAATCGAACTCTACTTTGAACTTAAGATTGCAGAGCCACCTAGTTTAATTTAAATAATAATTCATTTTTTCAGACATGTGCAATGCGTTTTTCCTATAAATTTAATTGAAAATTCCCCATAAACTAACTTACTTGAAAGAATTTATGATTCTGATCTATCTTCAAAAGCATAAGTTTTGTTGAATTGTGCTGACTTTACTTAAGTATGTCTTACATTTTAATTGAAAACAAAAAATACATGTGTTTTTAATTTAAAGTAAAAATTAAAAGTAAAGTAAAAATTATAAATTGCAAGTAAATACGATATTATATCATGTTATTTTCATAACATTAAAATCATCAAAACTTCAGAATGAATTTTGATTTCTTATAACTCTTTTATAAGGCTTTCTTTCGTGTTGGCAGTACTTGATTTTTAAAGCATCCAAAGAGTCAATCAGCCCATAGAACAGCACCCGAGAATTCATATCACTTCAAAGCCATTCCTCAGGTTGCTTTGACATCCACCGTGGATAAAATGGAGCAATCAAACTGACGGCATATGCCATTTTGGTCCTGGTTGCCATTGGAGCCTGGCTGTTCTGATGGTAATTCGCCTGCGACTAAGGACTTTAAAGCTACGCACTTAAACACTTTCGTTTCGAGAAACGGAAAGAGATGACATGGTGAAAAAAGGACTTTCAGTGGGGGAAACTATCAACAAGTTTTTGTTGCTTTTCCACCTGCAAAGTGCATTCGCCAAGGAAACTCCGGCTTCGCGTCGTAGGAAACGTTACAAAGATGCGACAGGAGCCTCCCATCATCAGCGTGTAAGCAATGGTGGATGTACAGAGAGAAATATATCTTTGAGGTAATATTTAAAGGTTCATATTTTTACTTTTCTGAGCCAGCCATTACACACTAATCTTAAGGGCCCAGATCCCATTTAATAACATAAGCATTCTTATAATCATTTTTATCCGCAGCTAACCTGTTTCGAAGACGTGATTTAACTATACAACAATGTATAAAGATAGATCATAGTAAATAACACAATTTTATTATATTTATATCGTAATATATATTATCTTAATAAGCTTATCTAATTACAAGCGAATTGTTGAAAACTATAATTATAATTGGTTGCATTTATATTTTTAGTTTTTTTTAAATGTATCTATACTTTCAAGGCCCAATGACATAAATGTATTATTATTTTAAGGATTTTTCCCGGTACACATATGTGCAGCTGTCTAGCTGTCGACTAGTCCATCTGCCTGGTCGTTACATCGTGAAATATGACAATCTACGGGAAAGTTAAAATGTAGGTGGAAGGAAGCCGGGCTGGAGTACTCCGGCACTCAGGTGTGCACGATTATGGACAACATAATGGCGGAATCGAGTTGGGCGAAATGTAACACCCACGAGCCAAAAGGATAAAGACATACATACATAGGTGCGAGACGAGCTCATGCAAATATTCATAAGGAAAATATTAAAAACGAATTACCAACTCTGACATAAGCAAACTCCCAGAAAGTTACCCACATTCTCCCCTCCAATCCCATCGAGAAATACTCCATGGGTGGTAAAGTTTGTATGTTTATGTACCATACGAAAGCACTGGTATATATATTATCCAAGCCCAGAGTTGTTTGCAGCTAATTCACTGCCAGTTAACCCTTTTTTCACGTCTATCTTTAAAGTGTTACACATGTTTTTTCTATAAATTTCCTTTTCTGCTCCCAAAGCGTGAGATTATGGTTGACTCGCGTTCACGACCGAGATCCCTTTTTTTTAATGAGTTAAATGCCAATTAAAATTTCCAGCAGTGTCTAAAAATTGCAGGAGGGTTTTTTATTCCGATTTTTTAAGTAAATAAAATAATATAAATAAATGTGTTACATATTTTCGTGTGACTGTTGCTTGCATATTAAAATGTGAATTTTATAACGTAAACTAGTTTCCGCATTTATTACAAAATATTTTGAGCTATGCTTAAATATTTCAAATATTTAAGGCAATGAAAGGACTCTTTGTGCTACAATTTAAAATTTAAAATGAACAATTTGTGTAAAAACGAAAAAGAGCACCTTTATATATATGATTTATGTATTCGGAATTTCAAGCATTCAGGCTAAGCCACAAATGGAATCCGATTTTTTATCTGCCAGAACCTTTGAATTTTCCATTAGGCGAACATCAATGAGTTCCCACAAAGCAAAGGACACGGGCAGGCGCAAATTCAAAAAACTCATCCGCGTGAAGTCGGTTAATTTGCTCATCTTCTCCTGGACGCGTTCGTGCACTCGCGGCGCATCCGGCGGAATCCTGTACGGCCGTAGTCATTGTGCCGTAGTCCTTCTTCCCGTGCCTTGTGCCTTCGCTTGCCGTTCATGCATGACCACGCCAGTGCTTTCGCTCCCCATTCGGTTTCATAGCCACCATCGCACATTGGGCTCAAACTCAATCAATGATCAAATTCTTTATAACACTAAGAAATCTAAACTAATGAAAATATAGGTACTATTACCTAAAAATATTCTCTGCCCATTTAACATATATCATTGTAAGATAAGATAAGATAAGCCTCCGATTTAAAATTTATAAAAGTTTCAAAATATTTAAAGAGGTTTCAATTGAAAAATCATATATAAACCATTAACCAACAAAAATAAAGTAGTGTAAAAATATCTTCGTATTGAATCGAAATTTAAGTTAAGTATTTAATATTTGAAAAAAAATAATACATGCAAGAAATATTAAATAGCGCGATTAATTCAAGGTTAATCAAATATTAAATATTAAATTTTTTGTCATGAAAAATAAAACATAATTTTATGTTAAAGGCAATGTTTAAATTCGATTAAATAAGGTTAACCAAATATTAAATATTAAATATTAGTCATGAAAAATAAAACATAATTTTATGTTAAAGTCAATGTTTAAATTAAATCATAAGTAAACAAAGATTCTTGTACTACTATTTCCATGAAAAACATTTAAGCCGACTAATAAAATAATGAATTTCCTCAGTCTTTTATCAGTGTTAAATGCCATTGCTAAGATATAATGCATAAAATATCTATACTTACTTTGCCAGGAAATCTAGATCTTTTGAACTAGTGTGGCAACGCTTACATTTCCGCTTCCGTCTTTGGCAACTCGATGTCGCCTTTGGGGGTCCTTGGAGTCCGGAAAAAAGCAACATTTTCGATTCGATTTTTTGCCAATTGCCCGAGACTCTGTCCTGTCGGCATATGACGAATACGTTGAGTACGTGCCGTCGACGTTACTCATACGCATCGTGGGACTCTGCCGACTTCACACAGCTCCCACGTCCGCGAAATATGTATTTTGAACTTGCAGAACGTTGAGCGTAGAGCATAGAGCGCCGAGCCCCTTTCGAGATCCCTGGGCTATATTTGTTTTTCGCTTTTGCATATTTTGCGGGCAATTTGGGTAAAAGGATTTCCACACTCTGCTACGCCGTCTCGACTTTGCGGCTTTCCCTTTTCCCCTTAGCTCGGCACCCATTTTCCACAGCGCCCCAGCAAATCGCTCACGTAAAATATGCATGCGTTTCCTCGGCGGTTTTCGCACTCAAGTGCCTGCAATTCAATTACTTTTCGATTGATTTTCGTGTTTGGCCCCGAATCGAGGAGGAACCTCTTGGTCTGGTTATGCATGGAGCGTGTTTTTGGGCGATTTACGAGCGTGAACCGGCATTTTCCGTAAGTGGGGTATGCATGTGGCAAAATAAGTTCCCCTACACTTCGGGAAAATAATATTTTTTAATGTATAACCTAATATATTTATCTCATTTAAATCAAATATTTGTTTGCAATATTTTTAAAGGGCCTCTGGATAATAATTTAAGGCACTCTGATTTGTATAAAATCCTAGAAAGTTTTAGACAACTGTATTTCTCACGAAATTGTGCGTTAACCATTTTCCATATGCTTTTAACCTATTTTGTAAGAAAAGTTTTTTATTTCCTTAATTACTGAATTTAAACAAACCTATATTATTCTCGTAGATTAAAGTAAAGTATATTTTTATTAGTCTAGTTTTATCTTCTATTTTGCTGAATTTAATGAGACAATGAAATTCTTGCCTCGACATTCACTCGTATCAAAGTTTTTATTGCAGATGGCGAGACAGTTGAAATGAAAAGCTGAAATCAGTGGTACACAAAGCAAAAAAGCCATGGAAATCGCAGAGATACACAGATGCAGATACACCAATAAAAGTACAGATATATGTATGTATAGTATATACGGGGCTTTATACGTAGTCACTTATCCTGGCTTTGGTATATTGTTCCCTTTAAACAAAAAATAAATTGGGGAGCATGGCGAAAACATATAAAATGTAATGGGGCAAACGAGTATTTCGATTTATCCGGGAGTGGGTCAATTGTTGAGTCGAAGGCAAATCAATAAAAAAATTTGGATAAATCAGGGAGATCATCCACATTCCAATATGCGGAGAATTTCCAATTTTATCCATATAATCAACCACCAAAGCCTTAAGAAAATCCAATAATTTATGCTGAGAGTGCCAGCATGCCTTTTCATTCAGATGAATTTATGTATTTTAATCAATTTCCTCTTCAGTGGCCGTAAAACATCGTAGGTGAGTGCAACCGTATTGATGCCTCAATTATCTAAATGACTATGGCACACGTTTAATGGTTCTATCAGGCAGTAAATAGCAAAGCTGAATATCTTTTAACCTTCTAAGAAAAAGTCATTTGTATCTTTGCTCATTATCGCATAGAAAAAGTGTGAAACAAGGTGCAAGAAATCAATGAAAATTTGAAATATCGAATCGCTAGGAAGCCCAAGGTCATGTCAGCACATCCGTGGGTTTCGTTAAGAGACCTCCAAAATACGCCCACGGGACTCGTTCACCTTCAAAGTGGCCCAACGACAAACCCAATCGCATGTGTACAGATGTACATTGCCAACTTGGTTTATCTGTTCAAAAGTACTTTATGTTCTTGGTCGGCGAACTGGGATTCTGCCTCCACCATTTCTATTTGAGCACATACAAAGTGAAACATTTGATGGTAAAATGCAGAAGGTAGTTTTGCATCGTGGATATATATATACAGACAATCTGGATACAAATAAAATGTACATTCAATATGTACATATGTACACCCCTCGTCCTGAAACCTCCTTCCGGTTTTGTGGTTCCTAAATTTTCTACATCAAATTGTTAAATTCTGTTTGTTCAATTTCTAGATTCAATTCAATTTTTTCAATTGTAGACTCCATAACTTTGGTAATTGGGTCCCATTTTGGACGTGGGACCCTCTAATATTCTGTATTAACAATTTTTTTTTAACGAGGGTCAAATGTACAGTAAATTTTAGAATGGGAACCCAAAAACTGCTCTTCTAGTTTCCATAACTTAAGTTATTGGATCTCGATTTAGACGTGGGATACCTCTATAATTTTGTGGTCGAATTCTCTAATATTCACATTAAAATGGTCAAATATATTAACCCACTTTCATGTAAGATTTTTTCGTATTTTCAATGGCTTTCGAAGTGGTAACCACCCTAAATACTTAGCTTCTATAATTTATAACTTGAAACGATTCCGATATAGGAGTGGAATACCTCTATGTTCCGCTGAATCAAAATGAAACATTTTGTCCGTTGTTTTTTTATATTTTGTCATTAAAAAAATAAATTTATGGAGACAAAATAGGGCTAACCCTTTCCGACCACTGTGTAAAACAGTTTTTTAAGGTCTTTCTTGAAATCTATTACCATTTCCATTTGTTTAATAATCAAGTGACTGCTACAAGGCATGGTACACACCTAAAATACGGGAAAATCGTGCCCGTTACCGGAGAAGCGTTTCAGAACTCTAAAATCGCGCTGAATGAAAGCTGCGGATGACAGCCAAAGGACTCGGAAGGGCAGATAAGCGGTCATAAGATTATTTTTACTAGTGACCCGATGACCATAAAAACGAACACCCGCAGGATCCAGTCTGCGGTCGAAAACACTCGCTCATGCGGAGAGGACATCCACATCCTGCATCGGATCTGGGGCCCAAAGTCCCACTTCCTGGCTGTCCACCAATTTGCTTTGCTGTCGCACCCCGCCTGCCGTTTTATGAACTGCGAACTTACATATCTTCCGCCTTCGCCCTTTTTCTGCACTTTCGTTTATTTTGGCATCGACGGAGCTTGAACTTCCCGGCGATGATAAAAACGAGGCTGTGACCATAAAAATTTACGGGCTCCTTAGGTTTGCGGGGTGCTGCCTCCAAACAGTGCCATATATTGTTGAACACTTGAAATTAATGCCTGATTGACACCATCAAAGTGCAGCGTGAACACGACGGAAATCGCAACATTTAGCTTTTTATGTGCCAGAGAATGGGATCTATACTTGGGTATACTTAAAATAGTTAAAAACACTACATGAAAGCAAAAGGTTTACATTAACCAGTGAAATAACGATAAGATGCTACAAGAAAATAAAACGTATTATTATAAAAATATAATATGTATATATTAAAACATATGTATACATATGATAAAACTATAAATTTGTAAAAATACGTAAGGAATTCCCTCTCTATCAAAACTGTCCAAGAAAAGCCAGCAGAGTTTTTGATAATTGAAATCAAATTTAACAAATAAAAACTTTTAAGTTTATTGATTTAAATTATAATACAAAAACTGGAATACTTATATATGGGAAAATAAAAAGGAAAATACTTTAAAAAAAATGTTTAATATTTCCCTTTTAAGAACCACCAGCTGACCAACCGGATTGCTGACCTGGGGCCAGTAATTTGGATCTTATGCGCTCCAGGCTGGTTCCTTCAAGACGGACATCCATGGACGTTGGCATAGCCTCCACTTCGGCTCTCTTCTCCCGATTCGGTGGAGCCTTGAACTTCATATCGATGGTTTCGCCACTCAGTGGATCATCGGTGGACTTTACAATGGAACGTAGTACCTCACTAACATTGCGGATACGCACGGGTGGTTTCTCTTTGGGTGGCTCTGGATCGGGAAGTGGTGGCTCCTCGGCGATTTGACTAGCCATCTTGGAATATCTAGAGTAGATCTTGTACTGATTGAGGTCAAAGACCTTGCCATGGTTGGTGTACTGCTTTATGGTTTTCCTTCTTAACTTTTTGCGTTCGGCGGCATCGCGGGTTGTGGCACCCACGGCCACCAGGGCGACGTGGCTCTCGCTGTGCTCCAAGTGGAAACCATCGCTCTGGCAACTGCTGATCACAGCCCGCACCACATCGCTACAGTCCACTCTGCGCCCAAGAAGATTGGTCAGCCCAGAGGCGATCTTCTGAATATTCGGGGGATCGAAGACAGCTCTAGCCAGCGGAGTCAGCAGAATTTTATCCCGCGGATCGTGATACACTGGCAGCAAAGCACAGAGCTTCTTAACGGCCAGCAAACCCGCCTGCTTCAAGGTCAGATAAAGCTTTCCGCCACCGAGGCGCGGCTGTCCGCTGATCGGTTTCTGGAACGTATAAGTATAGATATAGACACTGCCGCCTCCATTGAAAACCAGACGCCACATCTGATCCCTGCCACTTTGTTTCAGCTGCCGCATCGTTGGACCCAACTCGAATATCACCCGATTGGCGAAGTCCAAGCTCTCCATCTTATCCGACCTGGATCCGAAGCCGGGAACATCTCGAAAGTCTGGACATATCTCGGCAAAGGTCTCGCACAGTATCTTGAAGTCGAATTCTTTGGCACGCCCTTGGGATCCGCTAGCCATTATTATCTAGAAAAAAATTACTAAATAAGTTAAAGAATATAATAGATAAAAATAAAAATATTCTAAACTCATTTCTGATTGTTTATAATATACAACATTAATATATTATAATGAAATTAAAAAATGAACATTTGTTATAAAAATAATAAATACTATTGACCGTTTTACCAATTTCAAGATAATTTTGTCAAGTGTACTTATTATAATCATGCAGAAGTTCTCAAAAAAGAATATAAATCATACATACTTATATGAAAGCCCTGTATGTGAAGAGGGTCTATATAGGGTATATAGTTTCAAGTAAACAATTGAAAACTGCGCCGCTCCGCGTTTTTTATTTGCTCCTCCGAATAGCTTTGTTCTCGTGGAAAATCTGGTTGCAACTGACTGGACTACAACTCAACGGAATTTGATATTCCTATGAAACTGAACGATAAAGCAATCGAAAAGTAGTTTTTTCTCATATATCGATAATTTTAAAATCTTAGGCTTTTAAATTTAGTACAAAGTTCCCATTTTCTTCCTTTCACTTATACACATAAATATACAGATTTTATGTAAATTTGAATATAATTATGAATGGAAATTACAAATTGTTACATTAAACTACCCTATCTATACAGAGAGAATTCTGACGTTCTCATCAGAGTGGAAACTGTTCTTAAAAATGGAACGACATTATGTTTATGTTTTCATTGTGCTTGAATCAAGAATCAAGCGGAATTAAAATTGTTTATCTCAACAATTGAACTATTAGTTAAATCACATGTTTGTTATTATCAAAAAGTTGTTAAATAGTCTCATTTTAACTTTTCTCTTCTCACCATATCGTTTTAATATTGAGAGCATTAATATTAAGAACGAATGTTCTCAATTCAAGAACAATCACCTTGAATATATCTCTCTCTGTAAAAGAGTTGACATATTCTGTTTACAATTCCCCATAGCAATGTTTGTTGTTTACCAGCCATATCCCTTAACATGAATATTTTTTTGAGCAGTTTGAAAAACAAGATTCTAAAAAATATTAAAACCCAGTTTAGAGCGAAACATTTTTCATGTCGCCATTGAAATGTTGTTTTCGTCAAACTTCGTGGTGAGTTACCTACCATGTAATCGAGCTTCGTCGCTTTTACTTAACCTGCCCGGGGATATATTTATGCGGCCATGTGTGCCATAACTTGGCGACAGACAGGACGAGGCTTCTTTTCACCTTCGAATTTAATGAGCTTCCACGGCACGTGATTATTAGGCGAACGAGCGTACGTGTAGGATTCTTTCCCGAAAATTCCCATCCCGGCGGTTACAGGTGCTGACAATCCCCCAGCTCCATGGAGCCAGGCCAGAAAAAGCGTTCTCCTTCACCGCCTTAACCAGGACCACATCCACATCCACAATGGCGCACCGCCCTAGCCACATGGGCGCAATTTCGCAGTTTCCCAGCCATTTCCCAGCCATCCACCGCCATCTTCACATATTCAAAATGATTTCCCTTTTCCCTCCTCTTAAGGCGGAACATAAACAATTTTTCGCGACGCTGAAAAACTTTTAACTCGCTCCGTCCGTACATTTTCCACACGTGTTTCTGCCTCGGTTGCCTCCACCAACATAAATAAGGTAGTAATATGTATATAGCATATCCCCTTTAAAGATTAATAAGAGATGCTTGAAAAAATAATTTATTAGAAAAAACATTTTATAAAATAACTATTTGTGAATAGAGTTCTCTTCACTTAGATATGATATTATTTAGCTTAGTTATTTACCCTAAGTAAAGGGTAAGTGGTTCAATATAACTTAAAAATATATTTCAAAATTATATGATTTGTTAGTTAGTTTATTAAAATAAATTCACGCGAGTCCGCGATATGTATGTTCTTGCTTTATAATTTAAATTGTCCTTGAAAGGGAACAAGGAACGCTCCTTAATACTTTCGTCTAGGGTTAAATGACTTATGGCCATGCTTGCCGTCTCCAATATTTTCTGGGGCCACTGCCAGCTCCGTCTGAGAATTGATCACCGCCGTCAGTTCATCGACGATCTCGTCCAGGGTGAGGGGATGTCCATTGGCCACCATTACGGCCAGGATGAGGGGGGCCAAGATGTCGTTGTGGCAGCCGTCCATTGTGCTTCCTCCGCCGGCAGTATTGGGAAATTTAAAAAATAAAACACGAGAGCTCAATTTGGAATATTCGATCTCTGTACTCATGTGAATTTATGACAACTCGGCTGACATGCCCTGCAGGGGCTACTTCAGCTCTATAGCTCCATCTTCTCGGGTATCCACTTCGCCAGCGAGGAGTGCAGTTCGGTGGGGAAATTCAATTTGAAAAAGTGTCACTTGTCAGTTGGTCACAGTCCATTGTGTTATGCCCTTGGTTGTTGTTCTCTCCACCCATGCTGTGCATTTTTTGGTTGCGATATATCAATACCCCGGAATAGGAAAGGCGATGGCGATGCGGATGCGGATGTGGATGCGGATGAGGGGTTGTGCAGATACATTTCGTATGCAAATTGCTCGCAAGTCGGAGACTGTCAAGTCAATAATAAAAAAGAAACGACCACCCGCCGCAACCCACACATATGTACATATGTATGCAAATGAGCTGTGGATATAACGCCACGCCCACACCGCCCACATCCAGACACCAGTAGGACAATCTTCAGCTTATTCATTTCATCTGGATATTACACGGACGGAACTCAACAACTAAGAATTGTGGACTTAGTGATCTTGATTTACGGGGCTTCCCCTATTTCAAATCAAATAAAATATAAGAACAGAAATCAGATACTCTATACTTTGTTAAACGGTTCTAAAATAAAAGGCCCTACAAATACTAGATATTACACGGACGGAACTCAACAGCAATGAATTGTGGACTTAGTGACTTTTATTTATGGGGATTCCCCTATTTCAAACCAAAAAAAAAATTATAAGAATAGAAATCAGATATGTACTCGATACTGTGTTAATTGGTTCTTAAATAAAAGGCTCTCCAGATACGAAAGTTGTTACGTATTGATAAAATAAATGGATTTCATTTCAAATTTCAATTCCAACCCCAAAACTATGAGAGCTTACCAAATTTTACGATTCTTAAAACTTTAAAATTGGACAAATATTCATAAAAGAATTTAGAAGTTAAAAATTGTAAATTCGAACTTTAAAGTTATGGGCGCCAGAGAATTTCATAATAGGTGGGCGTTACCTAAAATCTTACAAATTAAAGTTACGAATTCCACCTCGCGCCATCTGGAGGCATATTTATTTTGAAATGATTAACAGAGTACGGGGTATCCGATAGTCAATCGTAGTTTTCCATCTTGATTTGTTTACTGTTTTTCCAGCCCTGCTTACTATGTATATACGTATAATATTGGCTATATCCATGTGTTATTGCACTTCGGTCGTGAATGTATGTAAGTAACCCTCGGGTGCGGGATCGCCTATAGCTTTGTTCGACTCTCTGTTCAGAAGTTAGTCAGATTCCGACACTTCATCGGATCGCGAGCATTACAAAACCGCAATTTTGCACTGAGTTACTGCTTTTGTTCTATAGTCAGATGAAAATACTAACAAAGCTGCCTGCGCCTATAACAAAAAGAAAAAATTCTATTGAATTAGATTATTCAAAAATTATTCATTTCGTAGTAGGTAAAAAAAATCTTCACAACATAGTGCAATCAGAAATATTTTATAAATATGCTTGTGCGTTTTATATTGTTTATTTATTAGTATACATATGTAAACAAAGACCACTTTGATAAGCCCTTCGACACGTATGATTGTATGCTATATGTCTAAAAAGAGAACCCGGCAAAAAAGAATTGAATGCACAATGTATGTATATACATACATATGTACATTAGGGTGGACCTTAAAGTACGGAAATGAGATAGTCATGTTTATACTATCTCTCATTGAAATGGATGCAATAAAAAAAATTTATTTTAATGATCTAGAAAATTTTTCTAAAGTCTCTCTTTCCGAAGTTTCACAAGTTTTCGGTTTCGCGTGAACAACATCCTGATCTCTCAAATACATTTTTCAATGGGACTGTCAAAATACCACAAGAGAGAAAACTGGATAATGCTTACTCTTGAAAAAGTAGAGCTCACATAAATACGAAATATGTAAACAACCAGATAGTAAATGCTTACTCTCACAAAAGTAATTTATTTATTCAGTCAAATCCAAATGAGATTGATTTGAAAATTGGAGTTCCGCAATCAAAGAAATTCAATATAGAAAATAAACTTGATCCACTGACCCCTCAAGGATAGACGTGTCTAATTTTTGTTTGTTTTATATACAATGTCCGAACGTGCTTTAAAAGAAAATAAATATATTTCATGGTAGATGTAAAGACAATTTAGTTTAGTTTGATCACAAAGAGACACTCGATTTATAAAATTTCGAATTATTTTGTAGGTCAATTCATGGAAAAAACCTTTATAACTTACCCTTAAAAAAAACGTACTTACAGAACCATGGCTGCGCCCAAGTCGAAATTCGTCTTTGATTTCGAGAAGCTGAAACAGACGTTCGTCGAGATTTGTCCAGACTTCAAGGAGGAGCCAAGCTATGAGGAGGCCACCGTTAGTCGTCGCTTTGCCCAGCAGGTGATCTTCGCCTTCAGCAAGGAGGCTGCTGCGGCCAAATCCCAGAAGAAGGACGTCTCCTGTTCGATGCGCCTGGATGCGGTCAATGCAAAGGGGACCGCGATTCGTAGTGAGGTAAAGATCCAGACGCACTGGATACGTGATCCGCCGCAGAACCAGCCCTTCGTCATGAAGGGTCTTCTGCTACTGTCCTTCAAACAGGCCAGTCTGCTTGCGGTGGAGAAGTACTGCCAGCTGGTTCCCCACCAGGTGAAGCGGGGAGAGGTGGTGCTCACTCCTCTGGCCGGAGCCGTGTTCTCCAAGTTCGAAATGCCCAAGCTGGCCGAGGCCCTTGGTGAACCACTCGAAGAAGTGGTGGTAGCCGTCATCAGCAGCTGCCAAACGGATGGATACTATCTGGAGCACAGTCGCTGCCACATCGCCTTGGTTGCCCTGATCAAGACGGTTTCGGATCTGAAGATGCGGGCCTCTATCGTCAAGAAGACCATCAAAATGTACAAGCTGCATGGCAAGGAATTCGACATGGAAAAGTTCAAGGTGTGGAGCACGTTCCTCAGGAAGTCTGCTCCAGCAAAGCCTCAAAATGACAGCGATGATGATGAATACGAAAAGCTGACGGAGCAAGTCCTTCACGCATTTACACTTAGCAGCAAGGAGGATTTCCTCCAGGAGAAACGCAGGCCTAAAATACCAGTGAAGTGTGCAGCCAATTTTTTGGGGACAAAGGCTGGATCCGGTAAGATTTGATGCATTCGAGGAAGTCTCATTTACAATGAACCCGGATTAAAAACCTTACTTGGGACTGGCAAAGCCATATGCACATTGAGCCAATCAACTGTATTGGGAACACTTGTTATGTTGCATTCAAATATTCATTTTACAATGTCTTTCTATTATGTAAACATTTAACAATCTTCTCAATAAAATACAGCTTTCTTTGGTTCAGCGTAAGTCAAGTTTTTCATTTTGCTAGCTCATAATTCAAAATGTGCAAATATGATTGAGCACATACCAAATGAAAAAGGTAGGATGCTATTCAGATTTCAGTTAACCAAATTATATAAATTCGAATTTTCTTCATTATTTTTACAAGATGACCATATTTTTAAAAGTATATTGGCCAAGGAAAGTATAAAACAAATTCTAGTTTGTGAGATCCAATCATTATATTGTTCTTTTTCTTTATCAGGGATAGTTAACACCCTTATTATTCTACCAGTTTAATCACGTTATCACGTGCTTACGTCCCTTAAGCCTATATAAATATAAACATTCTTATAAAAACTTCTTGGGAACAGAACAAAAACAGATGTTCCCATTTTGAGCAGTGGCGGTTATTACTTGGTTTTCTCAGTTGGTTTAGGTTTACGCTTCTGGAGCAAAACCATGGATAACTTGAGTCGCTTGTACTGGGCATGCGAGCAAAGACCCACAGATTCCATAAAGGAATTTTTGGTCGGGTCTTCCTGATCATCTTCTTCGTTCTTCTCCGCTGGCTGGGACTTGGAATGCGCGCGATTTAGGGCTGCCTGCAGATTGAGGCGGCTCTTCCTTACATCCATATTGTTGTGTGACGATGGAAGTGGCTTTGGCTTTGTCTTTGTCTTTGGTTGTTCCACAGTATTAGGAACTTCTACGGCGGGTTCTGCTCCCTCTATTATGAAATACTTCTTAAGCAATTCACTCTCGGTGGGTCGCTCCAAAACGAAATACGGCTTGATGAAAGTTTTTGGGGCAACGACGAGCGGCACTATAGCTTCACTCACAATGTCCTTGATCACCAGCTCGTTGGGCTTCAGGTCCTGCTCCGTGAAAGCCAAGCAGAAACGATCTATGTCGTCCTGAAGCCGAAGCACCAAGTAGTGACATTCTGCATTCAATTCGTGCAACATTTCCTCCAGTTCGACTATGTATTTGTTTTTGATCACTGGATCCTGTGGAAATTGAATAATTAGTTTGTATATTAACCAATTTACTTATTTGTTAAACTAGGATACAAGTGTGTTATGCAAGTTGGTATCATATTTTAAGTTATCCTCCGAGGATAACCACTGTCTGACCAAAAAGATAATGCCATACTAATTATGTGTTAAGTACCACCACAGAGGTAATAAATAAGTAGTATTCCGCCCATTAGAACAACAATTCAGTATCATTATATTGTATTTGGAACAAGATTAGAATTACTTACAGCATCGGCCTGCTGCCCAAAAACATTGACAATTGTCTGCAAGAATAAAAAGATACAACTTTAGATGGCCCCAATGGGTAATATATAGCCATATACCTGATGGATCGCCAAGTGGGTTTTCATGGCCCGTTGGCAGTATGCAATATCGTTGACCAATTTATAAGGTAGTCTGTAGAATTTCCGCAAATAATGTTCGAAGAATCTTTGGACATGTAAGTCCTTGCTTGGCATGGATTCGGCTTTGCGCATCTTAACCAGAAAGTCTTTGATGATCTCATAACGCTCCTTGGGCGTGAAATCGTGGAAATTAATGTCCTCCATAATGGGTACTTATTATTTTTTTTTGGTTTTATTATTTTTTGTTTGTTTTGATGCCAGAAATTGCCGCTTGTCGATTTAAAGGGTGGCCAGACTTGCCGAAGGTGATATATTTGACAGTACCTAAATAACGCTAAGCGCGCAGTGGCAGCACTGTGATATCGATTAAAAAAGAGAATGGCCGATCGGTAGCCTGATAGTTATTTATCGAATTCAAAATGCTAAATATTCATTTTACCAATTTCAAACAAAATATAGGATACCGTGTTACCAGGTGTGTTTTCCCCAATTAATTAGTCCTAATACACACCTGCTTTGTACTAAGATCAATAAAATTATTTGATAGCATCTCCCATTTAGCGTTTCGCACTACCATATGCGACCCCTGATGACCGGTAATTAATGGGAAACCCCAATTTACGACCCGAGCAGGCACAGCAGTCAACTCAGGCTCACAGTTATGTTATGGCAGTAAATATGATTGATAGTATCGGCTGCGGCTGAGTTCTGTTCACCCAGCTGCGTAAATAAATTAATTACTATTTAATTATTCAGATATTGATCACTCGATGGCAGCAGAAACGTGCCAAATTTATGCGAAACAGCGTCGATTTCAATTAAGCTTCGCAGCAAATATACATATAAAGGAAACGGAAATTAAGGAGTGATTTAATTATGAATCCTTTTCGATACTCACCACTTTTTAAATGGCACATTATGCACATTTTGTTTGCTTAAAATGTATGATAAAGTTTTGCCTTTTCTTGCCTTGATCTGTTCTGCGCAGAAGCTTTTGAGGCTTCTCTTGCAAAACTGCCAACTCTTGTTTTCCTTCTGTTTTGCAATATCCTCCGGCAACTTTAAAGCTCTTTGGCCCGGCAAGAAAACTTTTGACCACAAAAGGGTCTGCCGTAGGAGCCCCCATAATCCTCAAAAGGCTTTCGCATTGCCAAAGCAACCAGAATACGCAACAAATCTTGGCCAGCAATGGGTAAAGGCCAAAACAGATGCAGCTAAAATCTCATCATAAGCTCTGCCTTGGCCAAATCTAAAGTTCGCTTTCAGCACGAGGAGATTTTAAGGCTATGCCTGTCAGTTTTCTTGTCGTCCTTGGAAATACATATGTTGTTAGAAAACGCAGGTAACTGCTATGGTTACTCTTATAAGGGTTCTCTTAGGGAAATAGTATGGAAAATTAGTTAAATTCTATTCCTTATTTTGAATAACCTTAAAAAAGCTTACATTTAAGTTCAAATCACCGGTCGATTTTGCCCCACCCTGGCATAAAATCACCTCTAAATCATAAAAATTTAGTTGATTTTAATTTTTCGCTTTAATAATTACTAAAAAGTTCAAATTAAATTTAAGGTACGGGTGGGTTTTGCCCCACACTCCCATAAAGAGCCATCTAAATTAATTTTTTTATTGTTTTTTGCTGTCCACTGCCGGGGTCGTCTTAAATATCGCAGAGCTAATAATAAAAGTCGTGAACGAAGCACTCCACGTACTTCAGTTGAAATGGGAGTCTATATAACTGATGGCTCCTGGATGCCGGGCAATATTCATCCTGCGACTTCAAAGGATGGGCGTGGCAACAATAGATGGGCCCAGGACAGAACAATAGTCGTTGTTGTCCTGGCGATGCGATGGTTAAGGAGGCACTTTTCGAGGCGAAAGAAAAGGGACGAGCAAAACAAAAAAAAAAAGGGACAATGGCACCTAATGGTGCGTTGTGGTATCGGTGGTGTTGGAGGTTTTTGGGTCTGCTGGTGCTCCTGGTGGTTCCGGCCGGAACAGTTGCACGCGGAGCCACCGACTGTGTCCCTCATTTATCATTTACACACCAACGCACGGCAAAACAGTCCGAACATGGCCAAATGATGGCTTGGATGGTTGGACGGTTGGGTGTCTGGGATAGAAAATCCTCGGCAGAAATTCCATTAACGCTTTATGTCGGCGCATGCCGCACATCGGCCCGTCATTTGCATTGATTAAATCACTTTGCGGTCGGTTCGGCAAATGGTTTAAAAATCCCCCACCAACTTTCCGCTCAATTGTTGCGCACCCCACCATTTTTATGCACTTTGCTGGTGGCCTTTCTTTTTCGGTTTTCCTCACAAATTGCCTTTGTTTTTTATTTGACTTTTTTCCCCCGAAAATTTCTATCCATTTTTGGTGGCACGTTGTACGTCGTTATACAGCCATATTTCCAATAAATTTCACCAGCTCTCTGATGGAAATTTGAATTTTGGTTCGCGGAATTCTTGTGCTAGGGAAAAAGGTGAAATAGTAATGGATTCCCTTGATAATTAGGCAAAATTGCAATACTTAGTGCCATCAGTTGTTTCTGCTTCTTTTTTAAATGTGTTTAATGTTTCTAATTTTCAGCAAAGCCTACAACTTGGTTCCAGCTCCAAAGCTAACACTCAAAACCATAACTCGAAATGTTTCGATTTAAGCGAATGTAGCCTAAATTGAAATGACACCACATGTTCAGAATGTTTTTTGGATGGTCGGATTTATCCGAATTCAGTTCAGATGCATCCTTGAATGTGTGAACAAACTGTCGAAATTGAATATCATCCCGCACACTCAATGGTTCGATTTTTGGGTGTAAAAACTTTCGCTCCATTTCCATGCTGTCTGCAACAGGCTTTTGAAACAATAACAAAACTGTACGAATACACGATGGAAAAGTTTAAAACAAAAGCAAAAAATGGTTGATGGTTTCATTACACACCATAACGGTGTGTGTGTGTGCGGGCCACCGTAAAAAGCGAAAGAAAATAAAAATTGGAAAGTGCCTATGGCGCAGAGCGTGCAAAAAGAAAATATTTCTCCTGCCAGCGGAGTGGAAAAATATCTAGATACAAGATGATGTTGAATGACAGTTGAAAGTAATTGTATTGCTGAGTGAGTGGAATTATTAATTGCTTAGGGTAATTTTTAAAAATAACGGTCGATAGCTGAAGGCAGATATCAGTGACAGCTAATGACAGATGAAAGGGTGGCAACGCCAGGCCATTATCAAACAGCTGTTCGCCGGTGTTTTCTTTTCTTTGCAATTGCACGTAACTTTCAAAACAATAATATTACCTGGAGAAATGATAATCCTAAACAAATGTTCGCCTATAAGGCATATTCTGAGACGTTGCTATAGTCAGGGTAAGTTGAAATATTGACAAACTTTAAAAACAACTTAATTGTAGTTATTATTCTTATTTAAATAATTTTTAGCGGCTGAAAACAGTAGTTATAAGATAAATTTAACCGCATATTTTGGAAAATGGCCCGAAATAGAGCAACAGGAGTTCCGGAAGCACATGCGTATCATCACAGATTTCATCAGCGAATCGGAGGAACAGCAGCTTCACGAGGAAATCGAACCCTATATGAGTCGTCTGAGATACGAGTTCGATCACTGGGACGATGTGGGTTTGGCATACATGTAATGCTTATAAGTAGTACCCAAAATGAGGTTTGCCAACTTGCAGGCCATTCATGGTTTTCGGGAGACTGAACGGAAGAAGTGGTTCCCCAAGAATCGCGAAATTCTGGAGCGCGTGCGCCAAGTAGCCTTCGATGGAGCTGTTATGCCCTATGTACATATCCTGGATTTAGCTCCCGATGGCGTTATTAAGCCCCATGTAGATAGCACGCGAGTAAGTAAAATACCCTTTAACCTGCAGATAGGGATTTAAAATTCTAAGAACCATATAAGATTTCAAATTCCTTCCTTTCGGTTTGCTATACAGATACTTACTTATTGTAGAAGGTAGATATCATATATTAAAACGTTTATTCGAAACAGGATTTAATTTAATCTAATTATTAAAGCACTGTATTTCACTAAAAAAAAAACGTATTACAAATTTATGGTAGTTTCCATATTACTTTTCATGCTGACAAGAGTCGGTTTCCGTCGTTAGCCACTAATGTAATCATTTTAAATAAGAAATCTAACTCCAATGTCAACTTTATTAGCTTGTTTTTAACACATTTTTTCCCCCTATTAGTACTGCGGCACGACTATTTCTGGGATCAGCTTACTCAGCGACAGTGTGATGCGACTGGTGCGCACGGATGCCCAGCGATACAATCAGCAAGCCACGGGAACTGCAACAGAACTGGAGTCCAAGGGGTCAGAACCCGATGCAGCTTATCGCCATCAGCCGGCGGCGTCACTGGAGAACAACTTCTACGCTGATCTCCTGCTGCCACGACGCTCTTTGTACATAATGAGCCACACGGCTCGCTACAATTTCACGCACGAGATACTGGCCAAGGAGCATTCGGAGTTCCAGGGCACGCCGGTGCCAAAGACACGTCGCATTTCCATCATTTGTCGCAACGATCCCTAAGAGGGTCATTTGTCATTCGCTGGGAATGCTTTTCGGTGCAGTTAAAGTCTGAATGTCAAAATATTAGTTACTTTTCTTATGCGAAACACAGTTGTTTATCCAAAAGTTTATTTATGTAGTCTGTAGTCCTTATAAATTGTACATACACACATAGAAAGCATACTATTATAGGTAATGTAAAGTTTAAGTTGCTTTTTGAAATTCATTTAAATTAGTTTCATATTATTTCTCTTTAAAATGCGACCCTTAGGGAACCAAGCTATATTCGTTTTCCCTTGTTACAAAAGAAAAATACATTTTCAATTGTTACACTTGAAAGTTTCTGCGGATTACGGTATAACAAAGCTACTTATTTTTGTTAATAAGCTCACAAGTCGTCTTGAAAAGTTGTAAAGTTTGGCAGTAATTGTTGTCCTGTAATTACAGTCAAACAGGTAATTTCCGCCAATCACTACAGAAAGAATTGAAATCCCCTGAAGAGCTCTAACATTGTATTTGTTCGCCAACTAGTTTGGATGTTGAAGTTTCGAATGCATCGAGCAGTTAAATAGAATTGTATAGGTACAAACAGGCAAACTTTCGGATCGACTGACTGGAATTTTCCGATTACGAATTGAAAAAGCAACCAACCAAGGAGAAAAACTGAACGAGAGATGGGGAAGTGTATCTTTGATTAAAAGTTAAGGGCTTGAGTAACAACAAATCAGCGTTAGTGGAATCCGTTTGCACAGCGCTCAACGCCTTTCAGCCCATTTGTTTGTTTATTAGAGGTCTTGCCTTGGCTTATTTGAGGAGGAGATTGAAGACATCTCGGCAAATCCCTGCGCAAATATAAATCTTACGGCGGTATTTTTAGCGCCCGATAACAAAAACATGACGATTCGCAAATGATGTCATAAATTTACAAGCAACACGAACACGTTTATATCTTGTACATGTTTTGTATATCAGAAATCCGGGGTGGCAAGCGGATATCATTCGGCAATAAAGAATCTTCGCACTTTGATGCGATTTGTTGTGGTTTTAAAATCTGGATGGGCGCAATGTTAGCTTAAAGTGGGTGGGGAAAAAGCTCGCTGTTAGTTTCTCTTACACTGTTAGAACGCCTTCCACACGGCTGTTAGTTATCCTGTTTTACCCTGGTACCTTCAAACCCCCAACTAAAGCTATACCTGTTAGTATACTCAAGCATCTGTAACACTAACATGGGCATTACAAGATGGTTCAGAACAAGTTTGTTACCACTTTATGTGGCATTACAACATAATAACAAATATGCAAGGGGTTTACATAAGAAAAGCATTACTATCAATACACTTAAAAATACGACAACCAAATTACACTTGTCGGCATAAGTATTTTGACAAAACAAAAGTAAAATATACTCATAATTTGAACTTACTTTTTGTAAACTTTGACATCAATGGAAAGGTAATTTAAATGCCGTTTGAATGATACAATACATTTCTTCACCCATTCAGTACTTATTAAAAAGGACGAATTTGCTTAAACATCTACTTTAAAAACTTTTTTCGTCGACTTGAAAACTTAAATTTTGTGATACAAAAAGTTTCTTCAAACAAAAATAACAGTAACTGCAAAAGGAATTTTTCAAAAATCATTTTCCTTATATTTTTTAGGATTTCTTAGTAACTCATCTAACAAACAAAATGGTAGATATAAAATATTTTTTCTAATTATTATAAGGTCAACTAAGTAAATCATAATTTCAAATAAATGGGCTTTTGACAATCTTACTTGATTTAATATTTTAACTTTGATTATAAAATTCAAATTTTTAAATGACGGGAAATGTTTAAAGATAAAATTATAAATTTTCTATCTTGATTTAAATAAAAAGAAAAAAGGCCTAGACATAAGAAAATCATTATTTTTAAAGCACTTCAAAAATTCGATTTTTCAGGTTTAATATATTGCTGTTTCAAAAAATTACTTGAAAAACCCATATAACACATAAAATTGTAGATAAAACATAATATGTTAAAATATTTTAAAGTCAACAAAGAAAATCATAATTTTAAATACATTGACTTTTAAGAATTATAGTTAATTTAAAACTAACTTTTATTTCAATTTAAAAATTATTATTTAAATTAAATTTAAAATTAAAATGGCATGCTTTTATAATATTTTCTACTTTAATTTAAATATTTTTAAATTTTATAATTGAAGTAAATATGTTTTGTATTGAATATTATGTTTTTGTTTTTAGTTCAAATATTTACTATATGCAGATTGTCTACTTGGTAAAAATATTTTTTTCTGTGTAAAAGCAAATAACGTTACGAGTACTCAGCCTTCAATCAATTGAACATAGAGTACTTCCAATTAAAATTGCCTAAAAAGTTGCATATCACATAAAAAGGCTAGAATCTTCAATTCGTTGATGGCTAGTTGCAACACTTGCTGCTCATTCCACCTGCTCAGGTGTTCAGTTCATCAACGGTTTAAGAACCTTCGAACAATGTTCAGGGCTCAAGTGGCGAAATGGCTAAAAAGCAAGAGGACTGTTAAGAATAGGGATAAGAAAATGGAAGAGCAGGACTCGAGTGGCTCGAAATGAAAGCCAGATGAGGAAATACAGTTTCTGCAGGTGAGTCGATAAAAAAAGCCATCAACATTTTGCTTTGACCCAGAAACAGACCGAAACAGAGCTCAAAATCTGCAGGACAGAAAGGGAGAAAAGGGACTTCCCCCTACCTGTTTCGTTCTGGCCAACAACAAAGTGGCAACTGGAAGTTTTGAACAAATTATCAACTGTATGTAACAGAAGGAGCACAAATAACAACAATAATCTCGGCGACAATTTCAAGGAGCCAGCCCGCAAAAAAAAAGCGAAACAAAACCCTTAGGAACTTTTATTCAGAGCTTTATTTCGGTTATTGCTATTATTATTATTATTTGCCTGCCATCCACTCGCAACCATTTCACCCTTTCCGTGTGGCGGACCCAAAAAGTTGAGCACAACTTTTGGTTTTTCATTTCGCTGAAACAGTTCCTGAAATCCACTTGCCAGGATTTTGACCCCGTCGAAATTGGAGACCGGTTAAAATGGGTCAAAGGGAAGCAAATTTTGATGGTTTAAATAATATTTCTTAGTAATAATACTTAAAATACAGGTATTTTTTGTTATGATCTCCAAACATTTTTCACTGGTTTGTTTTCAGGTTACTTTTTTATAATAAAATGGGAAACAAAAATGTTTCTTTAAATCGAAAACGATTAAATATAAATAATATTAATCTCTTCTGTCTTATATTTCTCATAGATCGTATTGTATTCTTTAAAAGCCTTATGGACTTCTTAAAAAAAAAGGATTTCAACAACCTTAGCTTAACAAATATAAACAAAATATGATCAAACTTCATAAAATCATGAAGATTAAAAATATCTCACATTTTTAGCTTGAGTTCCTCTATCTCTGCTCGGAGAAATCCTACATTTCCGTAAAATTACTCCGCTTTCTTTAGGAAATTCCAGACCAAACTTCAAAGGCGGTGTCGTCGGGAAAAGCGGAAAATGAGCTTGGGGCGGGGCTTTTGTGCTGCGCCGCCTGTCGAAGGACTTGTAGTGACACTCGCCTTTTCGCTGCCAAATATTTTCTTTCAGTCAGCGCTGGGCAGGACAACTGATGATCCGCTCTAAAAGTCCTTGCCAGCAGGACCAAAAAAAATCCAATTAAATGAAGTTCTTTTTTGTTGTCCTTTCCGCTTTTCCAGCGATTTCATTGTGCTTTTACTGGAGGGGAAAGTGCATCAGCGATGGACAAGAAGCTTAATGCACAAAGTCGCACCCTGACAGTTCCATAATCCTTGGATTCGGCCAAGTACAGTGGTAGCGGAAATTAATACGCTAAGTAAAGCACTTCACACCTGGTCACTTACTTAATGTCACCGGTTGATAAGTCTTTCAAAAGCTGAATTATTGAGTGTTATATGTAAGGACCCACTGATGAAATTTGGTTTGGTTGGGTTAAACCATCTCTATTAAGCAATTTATAAGTTTTATTTTGTTTAAATAATCCATTATAATAGTAAAATGGGCCCAACCTATCGAATTGTCAATTTGACCAATGAAATAGTTACTGTCACAACAACCAAATACACACATCTTTGTTTTTAAAGGGAGTTTTACTTTTAAATGGTAACCAAGGCAACAACTTAATACAAATCACTATTTTAACATACTTTAAAGTTACGTTACTATCCGTATTGGTAAATATTACCCATAACTCTTTTTTGTGTGGAGTACAAAAAAATCTTTTGTTATTATTACCTTACCACGCAGAAAACTTGATGTGCAAACGTACTATTCACATATCACTTTCACCAATGGAAAATACAACATATATATTTACAATTCTTTTTGTCAAATTCCCTCCCCTTAAAAATACATATCAAAGTGATTTGGTAATTGAAAAATCCACAAATGCCGCAAACCTAAATTGTGATTTGAATTTGTAAATTGAAAGAGACAGAAATTATGTTATTGCCAAACACAATTAACGTTTGCTTATGAGCGTTATTTTTGAATTTGGTTTTTTAATTCCCCATTGCGATTCCCGAATTTCCCGGATTTAATGTAATTATCATCCATCAATTCCCACTAATTTTGCAGAGATTTTTGTCAAATATGGTCCATGGTGGTAGGGGAAGCGTGGCAATCATTATCATTGACCGGCGGGTTTTACTATCGATTTAGTGCCCCCTTTTCACAGAATTCTGCTTGCCGAGATTAATTGAGCATAAATTTTCACTGCGCTTCGTTGGCATTGCGTGAATTGTGAAAAATGTACACAGAAAGGATGGGGAAAATGGCAACTGAGAGCGTCCTTGAGAAATGTTTAATAGACTTTTAAGTCATTCTTTGTTGGTCCTATAAGGGGGAACCCAACTCCCTAACTGCTGTCACCTGCCGGCAATCAAGACCATTAATCACGATTATTTTGAACTGAAATCGGAAAACGGCCCACAGCCTGTTCGCCATGCTCCCCACGGTTCGGCGCTATTACTCACATTAATAAGTAATTATTTTAACTTGCCTGGCACACTTTCATCGGAATGGCTCCCCCAATAAAAGTGAGGTGTGCTGAATTTGGGCCACGTTGTGATGGGATTTGCGATGTTTGATGGCCACATTTTCACACTTCGACACGCACTCAGCATGAAATATTGATTTGGTGTTGATATTTTATTACAGGGACTTCTCTTAAAAAAAAAGGTTTTTGAACATATTTTTTAAAAGGTTTTTAACAGTTTTTTAAAAAAGGAATGCGTATTTTGATAGTTCCGTGACCTTTAAACGTGTTTAATAATTATAATTTATGACTACTATTCTACAAAATGTAACTAACCAAATATACATTTTATATGTACCCTCAAGTCAGAGTAATTCTTTTATTTTAGTTTAGTTATTATAGTTCTTAAACCTATAAGTAATCAGTTTAAAATCTAAAAATTTTAAACTTATTTTCGTCAAAAATTTTGCTCTTTTTTTTACTAATAATATAATAATAAACAAGGAAGAACGCTATAGTCGAGTACCTCGACTATCAGATACCCGTTACTCAGCTAAATAGAGATATGCAAGCAGCAAAGCGAGATTAAAATGCGCCACCTACCGGCGGTATACAGATTTAAGCGTTATGGGCGTTAGAGTGGGCGTGGTAAATTTTTTTTTTTAACCAATCGATAGGTATTGACGAGATCAATACATTTCAGTTAAAATTTTTTTATCTAGCATGAAAATTGTGGGCGTCACAGGTTTTCGCGGTTTGTGGGCGTTACAGTGGGCGTGGCAAACTTTTTTTTGGGTCAATCGATAGGTATTGATGAGAACAATACATTTGAGTTAAAATTTTTATTCTAGCATCAAAATTGTAGGAGCCACAGTTTTGGGCGGTTTGTGGGCGTTAGAGTAGGCGTGGCAAACTTTTTTTTGAGTCAATCGATAGGTATTGATGAGAACAATACATTTCAGTTAAAATTTTTATTCTAGCATCAAAACTGTAGGAGCCACAGTTTTGGGCGGTTTGTGGGCGTTAGAGTGGGCGTGGCACTGTGCTGAAACAAACTTGCGCTGCGTAAGAAGCTCAGGAATCTGCACGCCAAATCTCAATAGCCTAGCTCCCATAGTTTCCGAGATCTCAGCGTTCATCCGGACGGACAGACAGACGGACAGACGGACAGACGGACAGACGGACATGGCTAGATCGACTCGGCTAGTGATCCTGATCAAGAATATATATACTTTATGGGGTCGGAAACGCTTCCTTCTGCCTGTTACATACTTTCCGACGAATCTAGTATACCCTT